CAATTCCAAAGACTAAACCAACAACTACCAGAAGCTAACACAAACAAACAGCTAAAACCTTGTTCCTTTTGGTAATATAATTCACATTTTATCACCAAATAAAATATTAGTGGGCTGTTGTTCGAATATCCCAGGGACACTAAAAGCATTTCCAATGGTGAGAAACTATAGAAGTTTCTCAAATATAATAATTTAATATTTTTATGATAAATAAATTATTTGTTTAAATTTTAATTAATTTGAAAAAACTTTAACTAAATGATGCTAAGTGTTATATACAATATCTCACAGTTTCTCAAATGAGACACTGTGTCTCATTTTCTCTTTTAATTTTAATTATTATTTTTATTTTTAATTTTTTAGACATTTTTTGAGATACTCTGTTGGAAACATGATCTCGACAACTACTGGCTACAGCTCTTGAAAAGTAACACATATCACTAGATAGTCTAGCTAGGGTTGCTTTTGCATCCTCGTCTAAGTCGTAACATGGCTATAACAATTGATTTTTGAAAAATCGAAATTGAATTTGGAGCCATTGGATTACTAGATCCAATTAGTTATCGGTGAATCAGGTTTAGTATGTATCAGTGTGTATATATATATATATGAACGTATTTAAAGACAAGTTACCAAACAAAATATTACTTCATTTAAACACCTTGAGAGTTTTCCGATTCAAATTAACTAACCAAGAATCAATTTGAATATGAATTAGCAGAGTCTAAAGCAAACATAAAAAATAAAAATAAAAACACAAATAGAAACTAAACTGAAACCGAATGTTGTACCATTTCGCTTTGGTGGATTTCAATATTCGCATGAGCTTCGTTCCTTTTTAATTTTTTTTTAAATGGTCCATTTTCTAAGTAATCATCGAGGTTCTCGATATTTTCTTGGATACGAATCTTAAGCCTATAGGTGGATGCTTTTATCACGCGCCGGTCAAAGAATCTTGAATCTCATAACAATGACAACAAAGTGAATGTGGTTCTTAGTTCTTACACGTTCTATACAACTTCCGATTAGATTCTCCCAATTCCCACGATCCCAAGAAGTTGGAGGTTAAGAAAGTTGTTCCGCACATCATGTAAAGGGATTCTACCTTTATTATTTCCTTCCACCTTTATGAACTCAAGTGTAATAATATTTTTTTCAAAAAAAAAACTTCAAGGTCTATATAGGGACTATAACTATAGAGGCTTTTACTCGCTTGATTAGAGAATTTTGAAGTAGTTGATTTGGGTAACTACTTTGAGTAACTAAAGGGAAATAAATAATGATGCATGGTTATATACTTATATAATGCATCATGCATGTGAAGCTCAAATCCATTATTTATTAATTAATTAACGTGGTTAAATCTGTACGTAATAAATTTTAAATTTTTATATCTACAAAGCAGTTACATTCAATCTCAAGTGACAAAAAGTGGAACAAAGAATAATTATATGCTTCGTTATCTATATCGCTGAGAGGATCGTTAATGTCCAGTATATAACAACTATTTCATGATACGTTAGTAATTTTTTCCTTATAAATACATTGCATGTTTCTTTGCAAGAACAAAAAAAATCATTGCATGTTTTTATTGATTATGAGAATATGTCTGCAACACGAGTAGCTAACAAAAAAACAAAGAGTTTCATATATATAAAAAGTTCATTAATACAATTTTTCTCTAGGATACAAGAATAAAAGAAAGGAAAAAAAAAAAAGCAATGATAAATTTTGTGTAGCCATGATATACTTTGGACCGCCAAAGATCTTCCATTCTTTTCCTCAAACTGCTTTAGTTGCATTTGGCCATTGGTATCATATCATTGTTTTTTTTATATACCGAATTTCTATGGTGAAGACTCAAGTCTATTCTAATACTTTCACATATATGGATGTATGCTCTAATGGGCAATGGCTAAGAAAAATCATCCGTGAATAAAATTACGCTCTAAACACAACATCCTAGCTAGGCTAATTAAACCTGCATATCTCCCGACATAATCTTACATATCAATAGGTCTTACTAATAATGATGACGCCGACTTATTAATTAGTATCTTAATAATCAGAAGACGAGTTCATGCATATGCATATGTGTTAGCAAGTCCATTCATACTTAATGTCACATTTTATTTTAGCTACAAAGTTAAAAAAAAATGCAGCTTTTATATTTTCAAAATGTTATTTGCAAGTTTTCATTTTTTTTATTATAAAATCCTAACCGCCTACTTAATTAACATATATAATCAGAAATATTTCACGAATAAAAGTCCGTTTCCATCTTCTTGGTACCATGTTAAAAACAAATTAAGAACTAAGAAGTATATAAACAGTTTTTTGCCTTATTAAATGGAAAGCCCTAAACTGCTTAATAATATACACAATTGTGTATAGTATAATATGATATGTGAAAAAGTTTTTCAAAGAAAATAACATCAGAGTTTGAATACTATTTTTCATTAGCATGAACAGAGAGTTATACATCAACATACACCAGTTGATTAACTAAACTGAAACACGAGAGAAGCTAAACAATAGAACATACATAAGATAAACATTTCAGACGAAGTCCTCACTGAATATCTAGCTAGCTCACACTCTAGCTTTAACTGTGTTTATTCTCACTAGCTAATATATATTGAGTTGGTTTGATTTGCTAGTAAAGGATGGACTGATAGGGTTTGATCAAGGGGACGAGAGAGCCACTAAGGTGAAGGGACATGACTTCATTGGTGGAGCCAACAAGCTTGCCTCCGACAAAGACAGCTGGAACCGCCGTGGAACAGCCGAGCCGGAGAAGAGCCTTCTCGATCTCACGGCAGTCCGGGTCGTTGTCGATCTCGTGGATGGTTGGTTGAACCCTAAGGTCACGGAACAGGATCTGAACGGCGTAGCAGAGACAACATGAGCTCTTCGTGAAGATCACCACTCCTTTCTCTGACGACATTCTCATCACCTTGTCCATGATCCTCAGAAATCTGAAGATCTGATGATGGCTAGGGTTTAAACTTTAGCGTTTTGATGTATGTTTTGTTTTGAGTATGTAAAAAGCTTGACATCTGCTTGGCTATTTATAGGAAGGGAGTGTGTCTTTCGAGTGTTTTTATTTTATTTTTTTCCTTGTTAATTAGAAAGAAAGGCACATTTAAAAAGTATAAGAAAATATCAAAAAGGAAAGATAAATATCAGATGCTCAAAAAAGATGGCTATTTGAGTATTTTTCTTCGTATTTATATTCTGTTTGACTGCACAAATTGCAGACATTTCTCTCACTTCTAAATTATTCGATTTATTTTTATTTACGCTGCAGCTGTTTCGATCGTCATATAACATGCTGATTAGTAATTTCTGAATACGATTCGAAAATTAATGCGTCAAAAATTTACCTTTTTTCGAATCGTATTCGTAAAATTTCACCTTTTTGCGGGTTAATCGTAAATATTAGTATATACGCATTGCCGGCCGTGACATCGATATAAACATCTAAATGGTAAGCACAAGAATAATTATGAATGTGAAATATATAAGAATAAGTAATGCTTCTATGGATGCGTTAATTGTTGGTTTATATCTTCACTAAAATCATTTGTTGCCATGTTTTTTCCATTTCTTTTTTTTTGCCATGGTTACAAAAGCATGGGTTAGCTTGTTGTAATACCCAATTTTCATTTATATGATATTTACAGTTTAGAAAGAATAAAAAAAATGAATGGAATGGAGATGATAGGAAAAATAATTTTATACACTTTTTTTTAATTCTACCGAAATTAGTTAACTTTTACCATGTGTTGTATTGAAAATTTAGAAAAAACACTTGTATTCATTCACCATATCCCATGCTTCTAATTATACAACCATCTCTGCACCCTAAATTACACGCTATGCATGCATGCAACCATTGATTACAACAATGGTAGATATCAGACGATTTCTTATTAATTTTTTTGGCAAATCGATTTCTTTAAACTGATATTCAAACTAATGTGAAAAGAAATATAGCATGATACTAGCCTACCCCTAGAAAAAGAAAAGAGGCTTGTCAATTTATAATCTAACGGATTCTCTTAACATATCTCCTTTGATTGAGT